TCTTTAATGGTTTCCTTCCATAGACCTTAACAAAATAAGCATACTGAATCTAGAAGCTAAATTACTTTGAAATATATTTGGATAAAGAAAATTCTAGAAAAAAGGGAGAACAAATATTTGATAAAAAAAAATTAGGAACCATCTACGGTCAGCGGTTTTGGACGGTAACCAATGTTATCGCCAATTCTGCTTACAGTTTAGTCGAAGCCCACGGCGAACTAATGTCTTTCAGTAGTATTCGTGTTACAACATAGCATTGTTCATGCTCGATATCACTCGACTTCCCGTTTTTGTCAATACTTAAGCGATTATTTACGCAATCAATGGTTAAATGATATTTTAGTCTGTGTAATTCGCTGATGCATCGCCCGTAGTCTGTTTTGTCGAAATATACTGTAACCTTTGATTCAATCAACTCACCATTTGATTTGCCGCGGAATATTCGAGCGTGAAACCTTTTTTGTCAGGTACAGCCCCAGGTTGATTCCGGGAATTGGCGATCACAAATTTTGCAAAAATGATTTCCGGTTGGCAGCGATTGGTTTTTCAAAAACCGGATGTCCTTCATTTTAAAAGGACTGGCAAACATTCGAAAATGTGTTACGCTGAATGCGTTGTACAGCAGTGTTCTGCATGACACGGTGAACGCTCACTAAGTTCTCTAGTGTTCTAGTGACAGGCAGCTTCTAACACTATGCACTGCACCACAAACATAATGTACGCACATGCGTGGGTCTTCCAGCTGCAATTTTTGTGGACCCACTTGGCAACTGATCAAACATCTGTACAAGCTGTAAATTAAGTGACAGTTATAAATTAAAAGTGAATTTGCTTTGCGCTGACGTTTTCATATCCTCATCAAAAGTGTTTGATGCTGAAAAGCAATAATTGATTCCAATCGTTTAGCAAGTTTACATGGCTGAAATTGAAATTCACAGGTGATTCCATTCAAACAGTAAAGTGTGTAATCATTGATCTATTGCTGACCGTTTTCCAGGTTCTATAAATTCATAGGGGTGGGGACACGTCCTTGAATATGAGACGGCAGTTTCTGAATGCCGCACATCATGTGAACGATACCATGAGGTGATCCATTCTTTTCAGCAACGTTTCCTAGTTGTTTACTTTTGCACTGATTCAGTCAGTATCAGGTGATCCAAGACGAACTGCTACGGTCAGGTGAGAGCATGGGACAGCATGACGGCATGTCAAGCGTGATGTGGCGTCACTACGCTGGAACGTCGTGCTGATACAACTGTTGTTGTTGCGGATCGACCTGCTACCGGTTTCTTGACTGGTAACACAAAGATATTGCTGAAGCGATCATTGGTCAGGGGAATTGGCTGTTGACAAGAAAAATTAATGCCAACTTCACGCTGAATAACTTTCGCCTATTCTCAGCTTAATCTTCTTTCCCCAGGTTTAATCTTTCGTAGCTATATTGAACGCACTGCTACTGCCTTATTGCGAGGAATTGGATAGCAGGTAGTTTTAATGCCCGCTCTATTTTCGTTCCTTTTCTGTTTCAAGTATAAAAGAATGTTTAACAACCCATATTTTACGGTTCAAACTTGAATATATAATCTCACACAACGGCGTCGCACAAGCTGAATGCTTCACGAAATTATTGCGCATCCATGGAACTTGTGCGTTTGCTCAAGAGGTAACGCGCATATATTGCAGCTGGGCCTTTGTCCTTTTGTTGAAGATTACTCTTTGACTTGAATAATCGCCAACAATAAGATTTCCTCCATTGAAGCCTTGTATCTAAGAACTAACCGATGGAACCTAATTTGGTGCGGGAATCCGCAAATTTATGTAATACATTGGAAATGGCTTGTGTAACATCAGATGAGTTACGAAACTTTCATTATATCGAATGAAATAAAATGTTATCCTGTAGTAAATACCAGAATTACGACGAAAACTAAATACGGTATTCTGCGTCTTCATGCTTATCATGATCAAATCATCTTTGCCGTGTTTCTCTTCTTGATCTTTCACTTTTCTTTTTCTTCGGCTTCTGTTCAAAACCTCATTCTTTCTTTTACTCCACGTGGGTATGAAAGAGCATATCGCACCACTTAAAAATCTTGTTAGGAAGAAACCAACAGAAATTTCAAATATGAACGGAATGGCTAAAATTTTGGCAGCAAGCGACTAAATTATAATTCGACAACTAAATTCGTAATGCATTTTGAATAAAATACAGAATTTAAATCAGTTTTTGAAGGTCGTCTAAATACTTTTAAAAAATACATGCATTCTTAAACTTCGATACAACGACCTTCTTTGTTTCATATTGCAACTTTCACTTATCAAAAATTAATCAAATCTGTTTACAGGCTGAGGGAACCTGCCGTCTCATAGTCTGTTAATTCAAAAACATACATCACCAAGGAAGGTTCAGAAAGCATCTTAACGATTTGATTCACTCGACACATTACAGCATCAACGGATAGCATCAACCGGGCAAACTCGCTGTACGATGGCCATTTTTTTCCCTGAAATATGTTATTCTACACCGAACAGATTTAAGCCGTATATTTATTCAGAAGTTTCCACAGTTTTTCCACCGCTACGAGACCTACAACCATTACGGTGCGAAGAAGTACAATGAGAAAGTGTATTTCTAAGTATCTGGCAGCTCATCCAGCATGACAGCCTGATTTAGTCCCATTTACCACTGCTGTATCTCTTAGCTTCATCCAGTAAACTTCGGCTAACATCTACTTGAAGATGAGAATATCGCTTGCCGTGTAAAGATGGGTAAAATGTACTACTCATACTTTTTACCAGTAACTGGTGTTACTTTGGTTACGTAGCAATGATTTACTAGGAGTGTTTTATTATTCACATCGACAGCCGTTTCGTTTCAATTATGTGGTCTTTTGGTTGTACATATATTTTGCATTTTACTAATATGACGCAAAGGGACATCATACTACAAACTGCATAAAAACGGCTTATTTATGCATAACGAAGGCAAATTGGTCAATGGGATGATTGACCAGTACCGACGTTTCTTGGTGGTCTACTCGATTTCCTCCGCTGTTGTGGCGTTTGCCCATGCTGCTGGTTGAGTAGTTTATTGGCAACAGGCCTGCGCAATTCGTGAAAGTTTATGTCTTCAGTTCCGGCTGACATTTTGACAGAATCTGATAATTAAAGCGTCTTTGTAATAAAAATAATAATAATAATAATGGATTCAAACGGCGAATGCACAGTGTAAAGAAAGAAAAATTAATTTCTAATTTTACACCAGCAGCTCAATGCACCGCACCCTTGCTCCTAGACGCGTAGAGGGCCATTTATGCAGGTATGGTATTTAAGAGCTTGCAGTGCAGAAGACGCGTCTCGAACAAAAAACACTGCCACTATCCGTAAAGGAAAGGGTGACAGAATGGAACCCCGCTGTTTTGCGGAGCAATCGATACCGCCGCTGAACATACCATAGTAAATATAATAATGACACCGGATAATAATGATAAAACATCTTTGATTCGTCTGTTTAGTCAATTTCTTTCTTCAATAATAACCATGCAATCTAACCGTTGATGGAAGTGACCTGTCGGCTGTCAGTTCTACAATCATTCAGGCCTTATCGCAATGTTCTTTCACCTCGCCTGATTGTCCAGTTTGCTTGTGTTGTGTATAAATAAACCGTTTGTGTGCATTAATCACTTTTAATTATGCGTACCAAGGCATGAATAAAATACTCAATCAAATGGGGATACGAGAAAGTAAATGCTAAGTTTCAGCAAATCACAAGGTAACCTTTCTCATCTTAGCCAATCACAAACGGTGGCATGCAAATCGATTATGAAAATCCACCTAATTCAATGACGCTCCGTTCGAATTCTGCTGCTACGAGAGTGCAGACTGTTAGAAGATGCGTTTCTAGATGGAATCGAAGCAAAAACACATAACAAACAAAGGAAAAGAAACGTACAACAAT